CTAATCGTTGTATTTCATTAGCATTGTTTATAATATATTCTAGATGTTCAACTTCTCGAGTTCTTAAATAATCGAATAAATTTTCAATTAGTAATTTTTCATGTAGATCTATGTTTTCTATAGAAGGAAAAAGATTTATATATGTCACCAAATTTTGAGAAAAGGTTTATATATCTATTCATTAAAAGTTTGATTTATTTATGTTAATTTTAATTAACAAATAATGAAATGAATTAATTTTATCGAATGAAAATGACATATAAATCAAACTTTGAAATGATAATATAGATAAATCTTTTCTCGTGTGATGATATGAGTCTTTGCCCTTTAAAAAAATATTTTAGATAGTTCTAATACTGATCAATCAATTTATTTCTCTTCAATTGGCAGACCAATTTTTTCCATCCTACTCATATATATATTGTTTTTTTGGAAGTAAAATTTCTCATTCATTAGCCATAAAGATGGAATAATGCATTAAAATATATCTTTCCGATACTCCATTTAGAGTGCTTACATTGAATAGAAACACACCTTGAAAAAGAAAGAACAATGAATGACTATTGTTTAGGGGTCAATAGAGTTCAGTAGTGTCATGATGAAATCTACTAATATTCACCAGTAGGTTAGTCAAAATCATAACTCGAAATCAAAAGCAATAGGCTATGACACGGAAGAGAAACATATAGAAAATAAGAAATGAACATCAAAATAATGAAATATCTCCAAGACCTAGTATCAGTCGCTAGTTAATTCAAATAATTTTAAAGTACAAGATAAATACATATATTTATAGATGCGTCTCCAAATGCAATATAAAGACTAGTCCTATTCAATATAGAGAGAGATTAGCAACTCCGAAGGTTAGGAGCTCACCCCAATCTTAGAATCCACAAGCTTTTACTCACGAGACACACATTAATGGTGAAAATTCGTACTATGATCATCAGGGGACAAAAGTGTAGTATGTGCATCAACAATAGATACTTAGTAGGCATAGAACAAGAGGTACTTAGTAGGCATAGACCAATTGATCTTCAAGGACAACATGTAAGTAAGGAATGTACAGTATAATAAAACTGAACAAAAACATAAAAAAGAATAAAACAAGCAAGTAATCGAGACAAGGAAACGTAATTGAAGGCGCTAGCCCAACAACCAAATCACTACAATAGTCAACTAACCAGAGATATAACAATGATAACCACCATTATACATTACAACAATCAATAGGTCAATCCAACCCAACCAGAGGGGAGGAAAATCAGTAAGAAAAATTAAGAATAGTCGAAGGGGAAATTTATCTTCTGAGGGTAAATTTAAGTCAATTTGGGGATTTCCGTCCATACAGGGGCGCAAACGATAAGATTAGTAACAACAGGGATAAGAATAACATCATTTTAATGGTAAGAACATAATCAACTAATAAAGTTGAGGAGTATTTTTGATTATTTTCCCTTTTATCTCCAATTTCAAATTGTTATAAAACTCTTTATTAGCATTAGTGTGATTTATGTTCTCATATTGAAGATATGAATCACTATCTATTTTATATTTTCTAACCTTTATCTATCCATTTGAAACTTATTTTTGTTATTTTCTTGAGTTGAAATTCAATAAGTTAAATAGTAATATGTTAAAAATTATTGAGATTTAGTGGGTTAAATTGAACGGTTCATGATTCCCGATTTTGAACGCATTTGAGCTAAAAACTAAACTTGAACGGGTCATGACCTAACCATATTTCTACATCAATCCATTTTAATATCTCCAATTTCAACTCAACCCACTCAATATTAATATCTCCAATTTCAACTCAACCCACTTAATAGACATACTGGAAGAGTAGTAGGGATTAATTTCTAAAATAGTGGACATTACTCCGTGACATTCACACTCAACAGTCACTCCATTCATTTAAAAAAGAATGACCCAATTTGACTTCGAATGAAATTTAAGAAAAGAAAGAAGACTTTTTAATCTTGTAGTTCCAAATCAATGTTATGTCAAATGTACTTAAATATTCTTTAATCTTGTGACCTTAAACATGTCATGTGAAAAATTAAGGTTAAAGTGTTGTCAAAAAAGGAAATGGATCATTTTTTTTAAAACAGACCAAACAGAAAATGGAAGCATTCTTTGAAAACGGAGAGAGAGTAAATAATTGGGTTCCCTTCAATAATAAACACAAATAGACAATATTGTTTCCAAATGGTTAGATAATAACAAATTAACAAAAGTTAGGTAAAATGGAGAATTAAGATATGAAAATCCATAGCAAGTGAAGACAAGAGTGAAACTATGCACTACTCTTTTAATTATGATTACAAATGCACAAGCTACTAACGTAAATTCAAAATTTCAATATTTTTTCAAGATGTCCATCGCATCTGTAGAGTGGAGGGAATGTACCTAGTTGACTATCATATACCAAAGTTTAATTGATCAATCAAATAAAAAAGGCAAATAATAGTTGACGATCATACCAAGACTAATTGATCAATCAAATAAAAGGGCAAATAATAGTTGACTGTCATACCATACTTATAATTTACCAAGTACAAAAACCGACTATACGAGTCGATAAAAACTATATACATCCACTACAAATATTTCACTCAAGGTCTCAGCAATACATTTTTGAAGCTCCCTCCTAATAAAGAGTGCTTCAGTACATATTACTACTTCCTTTGTTGACTGTTATCGTTTATAGTGCTCATAAAGAGTCAGTGAGCACGAGTTACTCTGTGGCAAAGATTTATTAAGAGACAAGCCTGAGCATCTCTCCAGCAAATATTCAATCAAGAAATCTTGCTAAAGAGTATTTGAGCACCATATTGAGGTTGTAATGTCATAGCCTGAGTCGGAGCATGAACATATGATGGGGAAATGCAAAAAGAATATTGCTGAATGATCATTGACAGGACTACTTTAGCCTCAACAAGAGCTAAGTTTTGGCCCACACAGATTCTGGGGCCTAATCCAAATGGGAAAAATGAGGCTAAATGTTTCCGTGACTCAGCAAATCTCAACGGGTTGAATTCATGGGCATCATCTCCCCAGATCTCCTTGTCGTGATGGACAGCAGTCATGGCCAAATAGAACTGTGTATTCACTGGTATGTCAAGGTTTCCTAACTTGACATTCTTTGATGCTTGCCTCATCAACATCACAGCTGGCGGGTAAAGTCGAAGTGTTTCATTCAATATCATGCTCACCTGCCAATCAGACACCTCATCATCTTATTGCGAGAAAAATAGGGATACTATGCACTATCTTTGCAAGTATCATGAATGCATAATGAGTATAGCATGCTCATACATGGGGACACAAGGCTTATCATGAGACTGTTAAGGAGAGTTGCCAGAAAAACAAAAAAATAAGAATCTGCAATAACAGCTCAACTTACAATCTTGAGATCAGCTATATTCTCTGCAGTAGGAATCCCATTTCTGCAAGCACGAACAACTTCTTTCCGAGCCTTGCTCTGCCATTCTTGATGCAATGCCAACAGAAGAAAAGCCCATGTCAGAAAATTAGCAGTTGTCTCCTTTCCTGCAAAGTAGAACGTCTTGCATTCATCAATAACCTCCTCTATATCCAGTTTTTCCTGTTTGTCATCCTGATTCTTGATTGGATGCATTAACAAAGAAAGCAAGCTTTTTGAATTGTTTGCTGTTATGCTGCAATTGTTTAACAACATTCTAATTGCATCTCTAGTTTCCTTCTCCAGTCTTTTCCTCAATCTGTTCTTCTTGGTGGGTAAAAATCTGTATCCAGGAGAAAGAAATGACATGATTTATAGTGAAAATAATGAAGCAAATAATTGCTCTAGGATGATGAAACCATATTTTCAAAGAAGGGTACTAACAAGACTCCACCATTTCAACTCAACAAAGACAGTGAGTTGGCTTAGACATGAATGCTTAGTGTCATCTCATGTGCCAATTGGCAATTAGAGCTTTACTAATAGTGGCAAATATTGTGTTTTTATCTGTATTGTAAACATCACTTTGCATAAGACAATTGCAGATGTCAAAGGGTCATTTAAAATGGAGTTCATATGAAAGGGTTGTAGTGGACATTTTGAATAGAAAAAACAGTCAAACTGGTGGTATTAAAAGTATACATTGGACAATTTACAAAAGCATATCTTATCTTTTAATTGTTTTGTTGGTAATCATTGGAAATCACGACAATCCTCGTAGCTTGAAGAGTGCATATGGCACTATATTTCACCTGGTGTAGGTGTATCACAAAAATTCAACAAACTCGCAGAAGAACTAACAAAGATTTTTCTCATATCAAAGAGGAACTTTTTATCAAATAGTGGAAAATCCAACAATATAACAAGAAGAAAAGGAGTATTTCCTCAATTGGTTGTCTTTCTCCCAAAGATAGAATGTACATAATGGGAGAAAAATCTGACCATAATAGGATAAGGAAATAATAGTCCGTTAATTCAAGTAATGAGCCAGAGGCTACAATTTTGAAAAAATGGCTCTCATAAGGAATTTGTACAGTTCATTGTAGGCTCAAAATATAGAAGTGGTTCTGCTAAACAGGATTTAGATTAGGTCTCTGTGCACAGTGAGGGGACAAATTCACCAATTTATCTTCAGGCAAAATGTCGTGTGCGAGAGCCCACAAAGAAAGCTTTTCCTAGTCCATATGGGACACTTCTTTCTTAGAACCCTTTTTATTTTCTATCATGTTTTTTTCCCTCTTACTTTTACATGGTATCTCTCTATAGAACAGAAATGATACCTACTCTGACTCAAATTTGTCTGAGAAGTTAAATCAGTGGGAAAAATTGGTTGGCAATTTGTTATTACCAGCAAGAGCGCACTAAATGCAATTTGACAGTCTCATAGGAATCTCAGCTACAGATATTATTCTATCACCAAGCACATGCAGTTTCTAACTAAGAAGTTATAAATATGGTTACACTTAAGATAAAGAAATCAACAGTAAAAAATGAAATGCATTTGCATTTGTTTGCTCTAACCTTTACATAGCACAATTCATACAAGGAAAAAGTGGTAAGGGGATTATAACATAAAAGAAACAATACATGTAAGTTTGGTATTCAACAAAATCAATATAAGGTGAGATGCATCATACAATCGATAACGAAATGTACCTGAATCCAGGAATATAGACACTTCGTATGGCCTCTAAAACAAGGCTCACTTGCTGGTCTTGTAATTCAAAAATATGCTTTCCCTCCTCAAAACTACTTCCAAAAGCGGTCCTAGAAATGATGTCTGCTGAAAGTTTGTGAAATTCTTTGTGTACATCGATCTCAAACTGGTCTCTTGCACTAGTTATGTCTTCCCACTTGTTCAACAACTTTGTTGTGCTATCAACCATCTCAGAAATCCAACCCTGAGAAAATGGACAGATGCCAATTGATCAATAAACCAAACCGTAATACACATACAAGAATCATTTAATTAGGTACAATATTTACACAATGCATTGCACTCATATATATCACAATACAGAAAACCCCCTTCCTTAGACTAGCTAAATATTGTAATTGGTGTGATTGGATATGATTTGTAGAGTGTGAAAGTCATGGAGGATCAAAATGAAAAACACTTTAGTCCAGTATGATGTGGATACTACTTGTATCAATCTCAACAAAATACAGAGGCGGAGCTAGCATTAAGAGTTTGGGGGTTCTAAATTCCCTTTTAAAAAAAGCGAGTCGAGTTCGAACACACAAGTCTAGTGTAAAAACATTTCCTTCCTTAGCAGTGACTCATCAATAAATTTTATTAGGGATTTACAAGTTAATATACTTCTAGTACAAATACATGATATATGTGAAAAGAACTCCGCCTCTGAGTTGAGACATAATCCTTTTTGGTTAAGTTTTCATCCATATATATTAGAGTAATTAATTAGAAATAGAGTACCTTTACTATCTCCATGTTAAAGGCGTGGTTGCTGATCCTTCTGTGAATAGCCCATTTGTGACCATCTAACCCAACAAGCCCATCTCCAAGCAGGAGCTTTGACAAAGGGTTATGTTTGATTTTCTCAAAGGAAGTGGTGTTGACCAATATCTCCTTTATGAGATTTGGATCAGCAATTGCAACCCTAGGTTTAGAACCAAACCAGTAAAGAAAATTCTTGCCATAAAGCGTTGACCAATTATAATAGTGTGGCATTACACGGGAAACTACTATTTCATGATTATGAGTGAAACAACTGGACTTTGATTCAGCTTCTGTTATCATCAATCTTCTAATCTTTGCTGTGTTGTTCAAAATTGGGCTGTAACCTGGTCCGTCTATGCCTTGTTTCTTCAACTCATGTTCCACTTTTAAAGGGATCCATATGATTTTGTATATCACTTTCAACAACAAGATCAACACTATAGCTAGTGCCACCAACAGCATCATTGCATTTCCCACCATGAAAATGCCCCTCTGCCTCGACACCATTTATATTATAAAAAATTATTATTTTACTATGTCTTTTGAAATGGTTTTGATTGATTTTAATAAACTTCACACCATTTTTCCACTTACACACCAAAACTAACATTGATACAATCATTTAAAAAATAACTAACTCTCTCATTTTAAAACTTTTACCCAATTTGATAGGCTACATGATTTTCAGGCGCCTTGAAAAAGTAAAAAAAGAATCAATTTTTTCTAACTTTACTATAAAATGTCATGTCATGTCACGGTGCTTTTTTGGAATTCTTAAATCTTGTTTATATAAACACTTGTTTCAATATTATGATCGTTTTGATTATTTGATGCTTTTCTGCTTCAAAAAGTTTTATCTTTCGAACCAATTAATCAATTGCCGAAAATTAGTTGTAACTCGCTCTAATTGTAATAATATGAAAATATTAAATCTTTCCATAATTTATAATTTCAATATAATTTATTTTTTTTTCTCTTTGACAATTTCTTTGAAACTTTGAAAGTTTTTTTGAGACTTCCTAAAATTTTAATAACATGAGCAATGTTATCTCTTTGGGTAATAGAAAATTAGCTCACCCCAACTCACAATTAACTGTGAATATTACCACATGTTTCATAACACTGTCTGTGTGGTGAACATCTCATTTAAAGAGAAATTTATATCATTATTGTGATGGTCAAAATTATTACAGACAATTTATTTTTTGATTTTCTTTTGTCATTATTATCTTCTTCCCTTTTTATTAATTGTCTGATAAAATACTTTTAGCGCATGAAAGAATCATTATCTTTTAAAACCCAATAAAAAGTACATAATCAATGATAAATTTGTATAGAAAAGAATTATTTTTTCTTGTGTCCTTTTGGTAGTTTATAGTGAAACATATATGCCACAATATTTGTGATGCACTAAAAGTACTTGACAAGTTACCAATTATATCAAAATTATTTTTTTGGCATTTCTCTCAAACCTCCCATAGAGGAGAGTTATGACATTTATCTCATCATTCAAAGCACATCACTATTCATAATTTTCATCATCTCTTGATACACTCACTTTCAAGAATAGTCCAGCATTCATGATGTTTATAACAAGTCACATTCTCTTCAAGAAATCAACTATAATCATATATATTTGCTTCATAGTTTTTCATTAGAAATTTATTGCCATGCTTTAAAATTTATCATATTTATATGATACAACTCAACATCACTTTAAAATGTCAGTGCATGTCAATAACCAATTTAAGTTAGTGAACGATGCTAAGGACAAGAATTCCAAAGCAAGCGTTACTAAAAACCTACATAAAATCGGATAAAGTTTTCTCTGCTTTTAGGTTTATCCTAAATTTTCACTTTTCAAAAACTCATAACTCAACTAATAGATGATATAATATCCATCAATGATCTGATTGTCGCAAATAAAACCAATTCATTTCCAAATACAAAAAAGAAGTTCCAAACTAGTCACTTGACTACAATACAAAAGACTAATCGTGAATCAAATAAAAGGAATGATGAATGCAGCGACTCTAAGAGTTTTTAAAAGAAACTAAATAAACATAGCAAATAAATAGTTCTCTTGCCACGCGAAGCAATGCGGGGCTCACCAGATGCAACCAAGTAATACTCTAGTTAATAAATACTCTTTAATACCACCCGAGTTCTAACTAAAATAACTAGTGAAGAGTGAAACGCTAGCTCAATAAGTAATAATACTTAACCACAACCATTCTAATGAGGGACAAATCAGAAAATATGCTAGTATAATAATTAAAATGATGAAATAATGTCCTTTCGAAAACGGTACAAAATTCAATCTTATGTGCCTTATATAAGCAAAATCATTGTTAATACTTAATAGGAGATTTCCAAGGATGAATCATGTAATCAACATGACCTTCTTTTTAAGAAGTAACCAATAATATTCATATCACTAGATCCCTACTTGAGGGATATCAGTACCGATATGCTGGTTTTACCTTCCCACTATCAAGGTCTGTATCAGTATATGTAATTACAAGGTGCACCATGACTAACGAACCCGCCGTTAGCTATGTAATGCGTCAAGCTCTACTCCCATTTATACATTTTTGTGATCAGTAGAAGCATTTCAAAATCGAACAAGACATCTAAATCTTATTAAATCATATCATTTCAAGTTTAACAATTACCTCTACAAAGACTACTTCTCAAATAAGTGTAAACCCTTTCAATAACAGTAATCATATCTTGTAAAGATAACATCATCTCAAATGATATTTTTAGTATCATATCATATCAAGTAAAAGACTCGTTCCACATGCAAGCTCAAAACATTCGACAATACATTTACTTATAAACCATATAAAATCATGAAATTTGTAAAATACAAATTATGGTAAGATTAGTACTCATAGTACTCCTAACGAGATACTAAGCTTGCCACTCAATTAAATTGTACGAATTCCTGTCAATCTATAATCACATTCATAACAATTTCGTGTAACTCCTTCATTTAGGCTATTTCATGCTAAACTTAAAATACCCAACCCCTTTTTGGACTTCTTGATTGCCCACCAATTTGATGCACTATATATATATACAAGCCATGAGTAATTGAATTAGAAAAATAAACTATTAACTTCATTTATTTCATCCATCTTATTCATCTAATTATATATATTCATTAATCTCTAGCAATTAGATATCTATCCCCAAATTAAACTACCTATGCTGGGAGTCTTAGCAAGTTTGTAGAAGAAGAAGAAATGAAACAAAGTTTTATCCCAAACCTCTTTTTCCTCCTATGCGCCTTACAATTTTCACCCTTCTACTCTTTCTTATCTTCTCTATTCCTTATCAAGAAAAGAAACACAACTTCTAATGTTCTCTTTCTTTTTCCTTTTTCTTTTTTTTCTTAGTTGCGGCGTTGTTATTGCTTCTGTTTAGGATTTAACACTCCCATTTTTTCAAAAAAAATCATGTCCTTTTCTTTTACAAAGGATCATGTTCTTTTTTTAAATGAGAGATAAATGGCATATATTCCCTTATTTTAATATAGGTTATTACATTTTCCCTACCTTAAGAAATTCGGTCCCCGAAGTTAAAGTAAGCATATACTTGTAGACTAAAACAAGAGAGGATACTTGTCTCACATCCCCTTTTCCAACTCCTGAGTAGCTTCTGCAGTGGTATGGTTCCTCCATAAGAGTTTCACAGACATAATTTCTCTTGACCTTAACTTTCTTAGTTATTTGTCAACAATAGTTACATGTTCCTCTTCATATGTTAAGTTCTTATCAATTTGTATAGTCGGTGCTTCAAGTATATAAGAGGAGTCTAAGATACATTTTCTTCGCAGACATAAAACATTACACGAGTAAAATACATCTCAAGGAAAGTTCCAAATGATAGCACAGTACCCTCACCCGGTCCATAAATCTTATATGATCTTACATATCTCGAGCTCAATTTAGCTTCTTTTTTTCCGTTGAATTACTTCATGCCTTCAATGGAGGGATTCCATAAAACTTCTAAACTTGCTTAATAAAGACGTATTGTAGTTAAAACCTTTAATAATGATTGTAGTGATTGTGTTGTTGTGGATTTAGCATGAGAAAGTGGGTCCAAATGCAATCCTACAAACCTAGCTTGAAAAAGTAGATTGATAGAGGTATTAGTCTGTTAGATTTGTTGTGTTTGTTGAGGTTCAAAAGAACTCATGAAATGACTATTGCACCTAAAGTCTAGCCTGCCCACTAAGATTCAACGACTTTTAGTAATTAATAACTATTCATTTAGCAAAATTGACATTCAATTTGTCACACTCCCAAAAAACCCGCTCTACTTGTTTACTCTTGTTTATTTGTAGTTGTTAATTGTTCATCCAAATCCTCCCATTTGATATTAATTGTCATACCCTTTTAATTTACTTTATTTGTTGCGAAAATGTCTACATATACAAATTATTAGAACACCATTTTACTTCGTAATCGAATTCTTTACTGTATCACTCCCTATGAGATCGATTTAACTCTTAATTGGGCCTATACTTGTTAGCGACTGCCTATACTTAGAATCGGCTGAAGTGTAGCTGAGAGTTATAAAAAATGTTGTTGCTGCCAGGAAGTGGTGTTTAGAATTATTTTAGTGAAGTTTAGTTGTGAACTCATTTTGTTGTAGTTGAATCAACTTATTTGCGTTCTTTGTTGGCTACTCTTAAATAGGTGAAGAGATGAGTGTTAATGGAAGCACTGCTATCCAACTTGATAACAATGATGACATCGGTAATTTGCATGATGTTAATGAAGGTCAGTTGGAAAATGCGAGTGTTATTCGATTGCATCCGGCTGTGGGCAATGCAGTGTTTCATATGACCAACACTATGTTGTAGATGCTGCAAATGAAAGGTCTCTTTAGAGGTCTTTCTACTGAGGATCCTCATGACCACATTTGAAACTTTATGGATGTGTGGGTGCCGTTTTCTTTCAAGAACATCACTCAAGAGTTAATCCGACTTTGTTTGTTTCCTTTTTTTATAATGGGGGAGGCAACAAAGTGGTTGGACTATTTACCAAGGGAATCAATTACTTCTTGGGAAGAGCTCACTAATGCGTTTTATGTAAGTTTTTTCCCTCCCTCAAATCTGGTGAAGTTAAGGGATAATATTCAAAACTTTAAGTGAGGGGATGGTGAAACTATATATTCATGAGACATGGTTAAGGTTTCAGAGGTTGTTTCTCTATTGTCGAACTCACGTGCTACCAGAAAATGTGTTCTTACAATATTTCTACCGAAGCCTCGATTCAGTATAAAAGGTATGGCAGACTAGTTTGTTCAAAGAGGAATCATGCAACAACCGTGTGACATAGAATCTACTCTTCTTAATGAGATGATCAAAATAAATCGAGATTGGTACACTAGGGAAGATCAAGTGTCTCCTTTGAAATTAGGGATGACAAATGAAAAAAATAGAAAAGAACCAAGATCAAGATGAAAACATAGCCAAGATGATGACTCAAATTGACATATTGACGAAACATGTCATGCGAAGTGGTTCTAAGGTTGTGAATTCAGTT